CTTATCAATGCCTTCTGGATCAGGTAAACCTGATGCGGATGGCAAGGCTCCTGTTGAGGGAAGGATAGCTTCCTCCATTCTCTGATAGTACTGGGACACGGAAGGGGGCCCCTGGTATCTGGAGAAAATACACTCTGGGTAAGGACAGACGTACTACAGGGGACACCTGGAACCCAGGTACAGTCTCCGCGTGGATAAGGATAGGCGCACTGCTGGGGGGGCCGCCTGAATCCCACAATGGCTGTGCACGGATAAGGACAGACACACTAATGGGGGTGCCTGGAATCCGGCTTAGTAAGCTGTGGATAAGGACAGACACATGACTGGAGGCGTCTGGAATCCACGCAGTTGTTAACCGGATAAGGACAGGCACACTACAGGGGGTGCCTAGAATTCAGATGGAGCCAATTTATAGGTGTTGATAGGATAGGTTCCAAGAGACACCAGGGCCTGAAAAATGGGGTACCAGAGATTGGCTATGTCATCAATCTACTCGGTATTGAAAGAAGCTAGGGCGGCCTAAGGTCCTTCTCTGAGGATAGGCCTCAATCTGTCATCAATGCCTGGCCCCTATAATTTTGGCCGTAGGTGGAACCACCTCCCCCCCGGCGGAGTTACAAGGGTCCTGTTCCTCCGCGGTGGTTGGGGAGCGGCTCCCTTGCCAGGCCTGTCGGTCTACATAGGCCGCGCGGTGAAAACTAGACGAGTTATGTAGGCTGCGCGATGAAAAAATGGTCCATGCATGCGCAAAATGGCGGCCGCGCATGCGTAGTGGCTCTCTTGTTCAAACCTGCACTCTTTGGGCCTATTCAGGCCACGTGCGTTGGACAAAGGAGGTCGAGCATGCGTCGCACGGCTCCAAGATGGTGGCCCGCGTGGAGAGTAGTGCTCTCTCTTGGAAGCTAGTGGCTTAAGGGAAAGAACGGAGCAGCCCCAGTCTCTAGCTTCCCCGCGGCCGCCCGTCAGCTGATCCATGGCTGCTCCACGGAACTCTGTAAGCGCACCCCTCCTCGCCTGTGATTACCACCCCTCCGGAATCGCTTTGTGGGTCTGGAGTGGCCCACAAAGCGGCCGCTGAGTAAGTTTAAAAACTTTTCCTGTGACTGAATTCTTCTGCAAGCTCCGCTCTCCGAACGTGTTCGCCAACTGACTGGACTAACAGCTGTTAGTCCAAACTGTTTGAGGTTCGGGGCTTAATCCCCCTTTTGGAATGAAGAGAGGGGGGATGTGGGAGGGGTGAGGAAGGGAGGAAGGAGACCCTTTCTTAACGAAGACTTGATGCCTTCTCAATAATGGAGAAGAAACTCTGCTATCCCTAGCAATTTAGAATTTGGTAAGTTGATCTAATTTAAGAAAAATAATTTGTCTAACTCTGCTACAGAAGGAACCCACCAATGGAGATTGTACTTGTCTAGAGCCAAACTTGCAACGTCTGTCCAGTGGGCGAGATCAGTCAAGACTGGGATCTTATGGTCCAGGACAGGCGTGGCAACTTTGGCTGACTGATCTGATTGGGTAGGAATACAGTCTCAACCAATTGGTGGATTCTCCATCTCCAGTGCTGGAGAATATCAGGGCTACCCCTTTCAAAAATATCTCTCAAAGTGAAGCACCAAAATAAGACTTTTTGTCTTTCTAGGACAAAATACTACTGAAAGCAGTCCCTAATATGAATTCCTAGAAGCTTCCAGACCATTTCCTGAAGGAATTCCAAAATTTCACTGATTTTCTTAAAGGAGGGCATTTGCCCATGCACCAAATCATGTGTGAAAGGTTTTCCAAATGACCTTATGAAAGAAGTATTCTAGATAAATGTAATGTCTTAAGAATTTGATCTTTAATCACAACTGTTCAGTTTTCAAGCTATCAATTGGAAGAGATCAAACTGACAACCCTTAAAGGAGGTTCTTTATATTGGAAACCCCACTTTAGTGAAACACAAATGGTTCTATTAGAATTACCCTCCTCGTTATGTTTCTGAATAAGAGAATAAGAAGAATAGAAACAATGATGCAAATCTTTTTGGCCACTAAGACAATTGACCATCTAGATTTAGAAACCTTGTCAGGAAGCACTGAGCATTTTTCTTCTTTCTCTTCCTCCTTCTCCTATCTTAGCAGCTGCCGCAGGAAGCTACGTTCATCAGCAACTGCCATGGAAGTAAAAGTAGCAGGCACCCCTGCACTGTGCCACTGCTGCCATTCTTCAGTCCTTCTTTTTTTCCTTTCCTTTTCTTCTCTTCCTCTTTCTCCTTTTCCTACATTAGCAGCCACCTCAGGAGGAAAAGTTAGTTAAACAGTTGAAAGTTGGTTAGCAGCTGCCATAGGAATAAAAGTAACAGGCAACTCCATGCTGCTGCCATAGCTGCTACTATTCTTCAATTCTCCTTTTTCTTCTTTTTCCTCCTCCTGCTTCCCTAGCAGCTGCATTGGGAAGAAAAGTTCATTAGCAGCTGCCATGGGAGGAAAAGTAGCAGATGCCCTGCACCATGCCGCTGCCAACGCCAATCTTCAAGCCAAGCCTGGCTGAAGAGCTAATATTCTAAAGATGGTCTCTGGAAGGACTGCACCAGGCTGATTCCTGTTAACTATGTGTTTAGTATTAGCTATCAATCCAATTCTGTCCAAAATGAATTTAACATTTGAATTTCTTAAGGCAAGAACAACATTTGAAGCTAACAAGAATGTGAGGGCAGCTCAGGGACTTTTCTTACACTCTATTACTGGACAAGTTTAGAAATTATTAGCTTATCTGCTGTTTGCATCTGACTGGAGTTGCCTCTTTGACAATTGTGCAAAGGTATCCAGAATTGGGAGAGCAAGGACTTTGATAATCCCTTTTGAAAGATTGCTTTACTCCCAAATGAAGAAGATGCAGGATTTTGCTTGACAGCTGTGAATCAGCCAACAGAAATGTCTTGCTATCTGCCTGAGCTGGAAATGGAATTTCTTGTTATCAGAAGCATGTGTTTCCCTTCCTCCAAACTCTCAAAATATATTGTAAGTTTCTGAACCATTAAGAATCAAGTGGAGCTCTATTTTAAATTTCTTTCTGGAAATCTTACAGGCTTTACCTCTCTCTGACCTTAATCTTCTCTTTTTTTTTCTGAGAAGACTACATTCCTGAAAATAGAAAAGACAAAACTCTGAGAAACACTTAGAGAAACGTGACTCAAAAAATAATTCCTGCTTGAAATGAGTCTTCTTCATTGGAAATCATAATTTAGGAATATAGAAGCTACTTTTGGCTTGGCAACTTGTTCTTTTGCTGTCCAGAAGTGATGGGTATATCTCCTCTGTATTCCTGTCTGTTACCTATGTTTGCATCCTGAGGCATATACTTCCCAGTCTACCTAGGGAGAAATTAAAACACAGCTTTTTGATTCACATTTGTCTTCTGACCTGGTTAAGCTTTTGTATAGACAGTCGGGGACAGCATTTCCTTTGTTTACTGCTGCAGCATCAATCAGATTACCTGTGGATGGAAGCCAGGACAGAAAAACCAGCCAACAGGCTCCCCTGCGTGATCTGTGGGACGCTTCAGCAGTTGTTACTAATCTGATCAGTTGGAGATCAAAAGAAAGTCTTGCAATATTTGAAGTCTATAGTTGCATTCTGCTCAAAGACATAATAGCCTATTAAGTTAGCGGGTATTTGTGAAAAATTGTGAAAGAATGAAGCCAACAAAAAAAGAGTAGAGAGGTACAAAAAAGAATATTATTATTATTTTAAAAAGATAAATTGGTCAAAGTTTAGGCATTCAGGAGCTCCACTGAGACCCAACTACTCTGCTCATTAAGCTAATCTGGGAGCAATATGGTGAAATAATTCAAGATTGGGCTGTGTCTACTTGTTGCGGGATAAGATCATATTCCAAGGTGGAAAATGTGTTTCAAGAATTATGGATAAAAGGACTGGTTTTTTTTCTAAAGTGCCTAGAACATATATGGCTTCAAATGAGTCACTCTTACAATTTTTCAGTGGGTTTTATTTCTCATTGTTGGCTTGAGCTATGAATAATCCTAATTAATGTCTCACTACATGAATGTTCTTGTTTTTTAGCCATGCTTATTGTGATATTTCAACAGAGGTTTGCAATTTCAAGTACATTTACCCATTTAGTCTCTGCATGTTTCACATACTCATTTAAAGAATCTGCATTAAACAAATGACAACATATAAAAGCAAAATTAAAATATGCAACAAACTCACTGAAACAGCACTATCTTTTTTCCCTGAAATTACAACTTAGTATAAGGATCCAACTCTCTCAAAATCCATCTTAGCTGTTATAATCACATTCCATTTTAAGCTGTTTTTACATATTTTCTTTCTGTTCTCTGAATTTCTAATTAAGAACTGGTAAAAAAAATTGAAATGCTATTTTTCTATTTAAAAAATAATGATGCTAGATAAATAATATTAATAGTGTAGTGGGAATTCTATTTCCATACAATGCAGTATTATAAGATATATAAAATGTATATATATTATGAATATTTAGTAATAGAATTGTCTTTAAAGAATACATGCACATTTTATCCCAAACAGTTTTATCTTGATAATTAGAAAATTATATTTAAATCTTACAAGATTTGATTTAAAAATGCACTCTATGAACTGAAGTTTGTCTAAGAACATGATTTTTCTTTTATAAATTTTATTTCTTATTGTTGAAAGCAACTAAACAAACTGAGGACATTTAAAAAGATTGGAACATACATCAGAAAAACTTGTATTATGGTGGCATTAAGTACCTTTGTCATTCATATGAATTCTCTGAGACACATAGAAACATTATAGGGCTGGAAAGGATCTTGGAGGTCTCCTAGTTCAATTCCTTGCCCAAGGCAGGAGACCTAATACCATCCCAGACAAATGGCTGTCCAATCTTTTCTTGAAAATCTCCAGTGATGGAGCATGTATTCGAGAAAAACTAATGAAGTACTACCTTTTTTAAATCAGTAATCTTGCAGAAATTAAACAATCTTAGTTACTTACAACCATATTATAGGCATCAGGAACCTCTATTTCAAACTGAAATGTTCCATTTCGATAATAACCTTCATCTGTTAAGAAAAACAAACTATATGAGATTCTATAGAAATTTTAATTTGCATTTTATAAACAGAAATAATTCTAATTTTGATAACTAGCCTGGGTTAAGCTTAGCCAACAAAAATTGAAAACACCTGCTTTGTTTTATCAAAGTAGAATATTATAATGGACCATGGGGGTTAGGCAAGTTCACAGAATTAATATGTGTGTGTGTGTGTGTGTGTGTGTGTGTGTGTACACACACACACACACACACACACACACATAGAGAGAGAGAGGTATACTATTGTTATACGTATGGAAGAAATACAGGAAACAATACAATAACATTAAAATTGGAAGTGTTTGGCTAAAATAACTGCAGTGATTATATACAATTTAATATGATAATGCAACTAGGATAGCTTATGTGAGTTTAGAAAATGTTTACAGTGGGATACATATTAAAAAGTAATTATTTTGGTGTCATAAAAGGTACAAAATAAAGTCAGTGAATAGAAGATTGGCTATAGTACATTTAAGTTTAGAGAAAATTACATAAAAGGGAAATTAATAAAGAGGTTGTACATACTTTGAACAGCTGAACTTTGAGGGAGAAAATGTTTAATAAAATAAAGATGTTCAATTAAGAACAACAAAACTTCATTTCTGCCTTTTTTAATTTATTATCAGCGTATCTGGATAATTTACAAGCTTAAAAGTTGACTCAGATTCAAAACATAATAGATTTTGTTATGTGTAAACTTACATAAGTATTACTACAAGATCATGGCCCTATAGTATTGGATACCATAAATCCACAGAGGATAATGGAAAATCTAGTTGTGTGTCAGGCCTGTCCCAGCTTGGGCATTTAGGAAAGAAAAACCCTTGACCATCTTTAGAGATAAGATATGCTTTCACTAAAGCCAAATGGTTACAGCGTAAGCAAAGTCAGATCAGAATATTCCTGCGTAAACCCTGTGATTTTCCCTCTCCCAGATCGTCTTCCCTTGGTTATCTGATCAGCATCCAACAGTATTCAAATTAAATGTTTTGGTAACAGTCCCAATAGTTGGCGCCTCTTCAGTGGATGTATCAAGGTTCTAATAGACAAGACCAAATAAATCAGAACTCCCAGGCTCGAGATTTCCTCAAAGAACATGTTTATTGGTTACGTAGTATCGGCATGGTCAAAAGTGAAACCAAGTCTGAAGTTCCCTTCAAACAGAAACAATATTACCAAGTTAAACATCCCACCCCAATGCTATGCAATTAGCTACATTTCCCAATAAAACAATTTGGTGGGCTTTCTAATTAAATGCTCATGCTTCCTCCATCTAACTGACAGAAATGACCTTGGTTCCCACGGGACAGTAAAATGTTTAGACTAGTAAAAATCCTATACACTCTCTCCCTTTCTTGTGGCAACCTAGAATGAGCAAAATGGCTGCAGCCAGGTTCGTTGTTGAGTTGACAGGGTGTTTGCATTCCATTCTCATGCTTATGTCCTTCATAATTCCCTCATCTCTTGTTTCTAATTGGCACCTCTGGTTCTTCTCAGTGTTTCCTCCTCATTCTCCCCTCCCCTTTTTATGGCAGTATGCCATCAATGCGAAGCAAAGCTAAATCAGAATGATGGCAGATCTGATTTTCTGCCCCTTGAAAAAACGGTTTAGTCCTGAAACAGAAAAAATAAAGAAAAATGATTAGAGTGTTCTGTGGGTTTCAATGGGGTTTGTCAGAGCAATTTTTATGGAATTTGCGAAGGAGTGCAGGCTTTGATATGTTGGGCATCGACCCATTTGGTCTCGGATGGGGGAAAGTCTTTCCATGCTATTAAGTACTGCACTTTTTCTTTATTTTTGCAGGAGTCTAAGTTTTCTTTAACTTTGAAGTATTGTTCTCCTTCAATAAGCACAGGGACTGGGGGTGGTCCTTTTGCAGGACCCAGGGGGGAGGTGATTGAGGATTTCAATAAGTTGCAGTACAAAACTGCATAGATGCGCCTGACAGTTTTTCGTCATTCTAATTGCGCTGTCAGTGAATTGATAATTTTAATTATGGGAAAAGGTCCAATATATTTTGGTCCAGGTTTCGAGGGTTGTCTAGATTGTAGATATTTGGAAGACAGGTAGACTTCTTCATCAATGTTAAAGTATTTTGGCTTAATCCAATTTTTACTGGCCTATTTCTTTCTAATGCTTCTGCCAGTGCTTTGCAAACCATCAGCCAGGTGCTGAGTACTGTGTCAATCCATTCTGTCAGGGATGGATTTTCAGGGTTGATATGAGGCAGCTCAAGCATGGCCACCAAGTCTTGAAGGTGTGAAGCCAATGCTGCTGTGCATTGAGTTGTTATATGTTACCTCCATGAAGGGGAGGAGGTTGGCCCAATTGTTCGGTTGGTAATTAATATAATAGCGAAGGTACTGTTTGTTCTAGGATGCCATTTGCACATTCACAACCTCCATTTATTTCCAGATGATGTGAGGAGCTTAGTCCCTGAGTGGTACTCAGTAGCTTTAAGACTTCTTGCCAAAATTGGGAAGTGAACTCCACTCTGAGATGATTCACTATGGTGTGCCACAAAGTCTATATATATGTTGTGCAAATTGCTTGGCTAGCATATATGCTGGAGGAATTTTGGGCTGTGGTATAAATTGTACTAGTTTAGAAAATAGATTGGTGATGATCCAGATCATCGTATTCATGGAGTTTTCTGGTAGTTTCACTATAAATTCGACAGAGATTTCTTTCTAGGGCACTTAGGATTGTGCCACTGGTTGCAGGAAGCCAAGAGTTTTTCTTGGTCATCCTTTGGTTGAGGAGCATAGGGGGCAGCTAGTGATGTAACTCTCAATAGCTTTTTCAAGGAATGTCCCCAGAATCGTTCCTTTACCAAATGCAGGGTTTTCATGAACCCAAAGTGACCGGCCATTTTAAAACCAGAACTAAAATTGGTTTTCTGGACCATACAATTTAATCCCAATGCAAGGGAGCCCATTCTACATGGTACAATCGGTTTGGTGGTTTTTAAACCTATCATCTTTGTCTAAAAACTCTTTAAATGTGGCTAGTAGGTCATTGGCTATCTGGGGGGTTAGCTTTTTTCTGGGCTCTGGTAATAGCAGGGGCGGTCAGAGGACTAGAATAGAATAGAATAGAATAGAATAGAATAGAATAGAATAGAATAGAATAGAATGCTGGAAGGGACCTTGGAGGTCTTCTAATCCAGCCTCCTGCTTGAGCAGGAGAACCTATCTCAGACAAGTGACTATCCAGTCTCTTCTTAAAAACCTCCAGTGATGGAGTGCACATGATTTCTGAAGGCAAGCTGTTCCACTGGTCAATTGTCCTCACTGTTAGGAAGTTTCTCCTTAATTCCAAATTGCTTTTCTCTTTGATCAGTTTCCAGCCATTGTTTCTTGTCTTGCCCTCTAGTACTTTGGAGAATAATTTGACCCCCTCTTCTTTGTGGCAGCCTCTCAAATACTGAAATACTGCTATCATGTCTCCCCTATTTCTTCTTTTCTATAGACTAGCAAAACCCAACTCTTGCACCCGTTCTTCATATGTTTTAGTCTCCAGGCTTTTGATCATATTAGTTGCTCTTCTTTGAACTTTTCCCAAGGTCTCAACATCTTTTTTGTAGTTTGGTGACCAAAATTGGTTGTAGTACTCCAGGTGTAGTCTCACTAGGGTTTTATAAAGCAGTACTAATACTTCGTGTGATCTTGATTCTATGCCTCTGTTTATACAACCCAGGATTGTATTAGCTTTTTAAGCTGCTGCTGCACATTGCATTGTGTGCTGCTGATGCACACATTATCATCCACTAGGACTCCAAGGTCCCTCTCACAGTTATTGTTTTTGAGCCAGGTCTCACTTAATCTGTACTTATATCTCTGATTTTTCCTGCCTAAATGTAAAACTTTGGTTTTCTGCACATTAAAACTCATTTTGTCAGATCGGGTGCATTGTTCAAGTTTGTCAAGATCTTTTTGAATCCTGAGCTTGTCTTCTGGGGTGTTGGCTATTTCTGCCAGCTTAGTGTCATCTGCAAATTTAATGAGGTCCCCTTCTATTCCCTCATCTAAGTCATTGATGAAGATATTGAAGAGTACTGTGCCTAAGATGGAGCCTTGTGGTACCCCACTGCTTACTCCACCACAAATCCATCTAGTGGTGATGTTGTCTATTTCACTTTTTCCTAGCTTACCAAGCAGTAGATTGTGGCCTACTTTGTCGAATGCCATACTGAAATCTAAGTATACTATGTCCACAGTGTTTCGCTACTTTACTAATTTAGTCACTTTATCAAAGAATTAAATAAGATTGGTTTGGCATGATGTGTTTTTAACAAACCCATGCTGGCTACCAGTTATTACCGGAAAGTAGGGGTAATACAGTAATATGATCTTTTTTCAAAGCAAGCTCATTTAATAGCTTGCTCAGGGCTTTCCTCTGCAAAAAAATTAGCCAAGATGTTTCCGAAACACATATACTGCTTCCACGGTGCTCCAAAGAGAATTATATCAGACAGGAGAGTTCAATTTACGGTGAGGTTTTGGAGAGACTTTCTCAAGCTAATTGGGTCCACACAAGGACTTTTCTCAGCTTTTCATCCGAGCACACATGGATCAGCTGAGCAAGCTAACACAATAGTAGAACAATACATCAGATATGACTTCTGGTTTTTGCACCATAGTGCACGGCCACGGGATTGCGGAGCTTCGCACCCCATGGCTGATTTCGCCCTGCCAGGGGACCCTAAATGTGTCTGAAGTTGCCACAGAGAGGCAACAAAGAAAGAGGGGTGTCCCAATGATCACGGAACGACAGTGGTCATTCCGTTCAATCTGGGGGAAGCCCTCTAACCCGACAGGAGAAAGGCTAGCTGCACATCAGTGTCTAGCCCAAGCTACTTGCAGCCGAAGTCCAAGAGCACAAACCAGAACAATGGTGAATAGCATGCTTGGACCTGGTGAGAGTATCAATCTTCTCTTCTCTCCTCTGTAACTAAGTCCTTG